CTAGTGGGAACACTTTTCAGGTTTTCAACGTCAAATGTAATTTGTTGAGACCGCAGAGTGTGAAAGTGGCTTTTAGATTGTACTATCTGAGGTACTAAAAACTTCTATTTATAGAGGAGTATACTTCACAATAATTCAAGTACAAAATGGCCAATTAACTGAGTGTTTGTAAACATTTTTTTCAATAATATTTTAGACCCTCCAATAATCACTACGAAAATTAGAATTCCAACGTTGGTTTTGCATCAGAATCGCTTACACACTCCAACAACAAACAATTCTGCGTCATCCTGCGGAAAGTAGAAAAGGAGATTGTTGCCTTCCTAATGCTCATGATTGGAAAATGGAAAAACAAGAGACCCGGTGAGAGAACCATCAAAACATAAATTCGAAAACTGGCAGACTCGTCAGTGGCGCAGAGTCAACCACTCAATTTTTCATATTTTAAACTTTTTCATGTTTACAAACATAAGATGTACAACTTTTTAGAATTCGTTGTCAGTCACAAAAGTTTGTGTTCTCTCCTTTTGTATCTGCCTGTTAGTCTGTGCAACAGAGATTGTGAATGTGTTGGCGTGTCTGTCCTACGACTCCGATCTCACAGGTCTTTTCGGTAATTTCGGTAATTTTGAATAAATGTAAAATAGAAATAATAAAAATAATAATTATTATTATAATTACACTGTAGATAACTGCGGCTACGTGCATAACAAGTACCAAGAAATTTAAAATTACTTTTTAGTTTACGAGATAAAACTATCCTCAATGTTGCCAGCCAGTAATTGAAACTCGCGTCATGAAAATTCAAGTCCCCCTCTCATCGTTTCGCCTCTACACAACAATGGGGCCCACAACAATCGGGTGGGTGACGCAACGGCGAAGAAGAGGAAGGAGGGCGAGGTGTTTTCGTAAATTTCACTTTACGGCGCTCCTATTCGTCCGATTTGCATGATTGTTACGGCGTTGGATTCAGGAAGCATGTCGCCATCGCGCTATAAGCCCACATTTTTAAATTTTTTCTCGGAAATTTGAGAACTAATTTCAAACTCGGGATTTTGCTAGATTTTTGGAAAAAGGGCTTCGTAGCGTAAATTCTATTTTAAAAAGGCGTCAAATGCCGTGTACAAATCGAAAATCGGACCATTAGTTCAGACGTTATCGGTAAAGTAAATTTTACTTATTTTGGTGCTGCCACGTGGTGGCTACAAATTGTACTAGTGTCAGTACATTTAGCCTTAAACGGCTTGAGCACAATTAAACAACTAAATTATGTCAAAAAATTTGGAGCCGTTTTTGAGAAAAATTTTAAAATGTGTTTGAGGATTTAAGTGTAGTACTCTGAAAACTTAAAATTGTTTGAAACTCAACTATGATTCCCAAAGCCAAGAGATCATTCAGATCGATTGCGATATTTCAATTTTGAAGAAAATCGGCTGAACAGTTTAGGTGCTAGCGTTGATCACACACGGACAGACAGGCGGACGTTTTCCCGTGAAATGATTTTTCAATATGAAGAATCAACAAAACATGGATTATGGCTACACCAAGAGTTAGAAGATTTTATTCTAAATTTAGCAACATATATTTTTACGCTACCAGAGCTCCGCAATAAGTTTTTTTCGGGTGAAATTTCGTCCTTTCTGGAGCACGATACTACTCTCCTTACGAAGAATTAGTAAGGCGAGAAGGTACTAATGAGGAAAGCAAATGTTAAGTTTCATTATCCCTCATCAATCTTTACGAATCTTGATCATATGTGGCACCTTTAAGGTTTTGTTAAGCACGAATCTTTGAAGTAGGAACGGGGAGTACTTAGAGCATATGCAAGTGTTTGCGTCAAGGTCCAGAGACGATCAAATTAGTGTGGGTGACTCATATAAAATGGTTCAGAATCCGTTATCAGAAAATAAAAGGTTTAAACTTTATTCTAATAATGAATAATTTTAGAGTATTATTTTGGAATTTATAATATTACAGCGAAAGTAAAGGTAGTGCCTTTACTCTTACTTTTCTTGCTTCTCAATTATCTTGAATTACGCTGTACATTGTAGTCATGTTGGAAAAGAATGTGGGAATTAATTTCAATTATAAAGTTTCTCATTGTTTTTTTTTGATGTTGTATACTAAGAATCAGAATTAAATCGTGTAATTAATAATTATTTACTAATCATAATACCACTTCACCTTTGTACACGATTTTCATTGCGCCACCTCTCGTTTCAGATGCGTGCACGAGGACGACAAGCCACTCGCCATCGCCTTCGGGGAGTTCCTCCTGTGCGGCCTGGCCTTCATCCCAGGGCCGATTGTGTACGGGATGCTGCTAGGTAACGAATTCATCTTTTACAGATATCCATGACTGGGCACCAGGTCGAAAACAGAATTGTGTGAATAAAATAAGGAATACGAGTATACTGAGTAAACCCACCCCTTAGACTTGCAGAGTTCTAAATGTTTGAAGAATGTTTAGTGTTTACACTTTAAAATTGGTTAAATATTTTTTCGTTTCATAATAAATATAAAATTAGGTCAAATGAATTAGTTAAACTTCAAAGATTTATTCAATTTTATGACCGGCAAATTTTTCATTAACATTTTCGGTTGACAATAAACTCATATTTACCATTGCTTATAATCTCTAAGATGCACTAGATAAAATAAATGAAATGCTTTGAAGATTTCAACGCATAGTTTGAGAGACCGGGTGGAAGTGTTGGCCAAATTTAAGTGGTCACCCCACGTTAGATTCAGAAGGTCACTTATGTTTACTTATTGTCTACATGGCTTATTAAGTGACTCAAGGTTTTCACTTTCATTGTGACATCATTTTTTCAATTTACATTTGTAGATGTGTAATTAAATTAATGCAAGTGCATAAACTGTAGAGAAAGCTGATAAAGAGGTAAAAATCTAAAAAATATTAAAAACGTTCGCAAATAAAATATATCTCATTTTATGGAAAAAAGAAATAGAATAATCTCGCGAATTCTTTACAGAGGAAATAAAAATTTTACAGGGAGATGATTTTGCAAAATATTTCCATAAGTATTAAGAACAATAATTTAAGCATTTAGGAATAATAATTCAATCACGATAAATGCAAAATGCGTAGTATACTATAGTATACTATATTTACTCGTAATACACTATAAACTTGGCTAAATATGCTTTTTACATTTTTCAAACTCAAACTCTTGGTACAGTTTTTTTATTTGCATGGGAAGTATAAAATACATAACACGATAAACTTGTAAATTTTAAATCCTTAAAGTGCGCGTCTCTTATTTCCATGAAATTCGATTAAATAACATGCAATGTTTCAAAACAAGAATATTCATTGTACTGACAGGGTGTATTTCCAAAATACATTTTTATTTTTTGTAAATTTCCTTTGTGAATACTAGGATGTTTCAAAACAAGAATATACATAGTACTGACAGGGTGTATTTCCAAAATACATTTTTATTGTTTGTAAATTTCCTTTGTGAATACTAGGATTGAAAAAATAATAACCACCGACCTCATTTCCCTTGCTTGGTTTTGGGGATGTTATCCCTTCTATTTTAATGTTCCTTTTCTTCTCTATACATTTGACATATCACAAAAGGTTCTTTTTTCATTCACATGAACGGTATCACAATACTGAAAGTAATTTCACGCATTACTCGCGTAAAACATGTTTTTCGAGAGTTATTGAATTTATTTTAAAATTAAAACGCACTGACCCTGAATCAGTCCACAATGATTTAGAATAGTATACAATATGTTTCAGAATAATTGTATACTATTCTAAATCATTGTGGACTGATTCAGGGTCAGTGCGTTTGCTATATATATATATATATATATATATATATATATATATATATATATATATATATATATAGCATATAAACCTTCTCCGTGAAAACGAGAGAGAGAGAGTGAGAGAGAGAGAGAGACAGAGAAAGTGAAAGAAAGTAAGAAGGAAAAGGAGAGAAAAGAAAAAAGAGACATAGACAGACAAAGCAGTACAGCGTCTGCTGGATTCTGCTATTTTCATATTAAAGTTACAATCGACAAGTGACATGTGCTTTCGATTGGAAGGCAACTCATCATTGTCGTGGTTCGCTATGTCACGCAATCAAAGAGATTTCCTAAACCCGCCACCCGCCAAACATCAAAGCACGATAGGATGCCTACTATTAAAGAAAAAATGTCACATTGGAACCTTCTTAAACGAAATTTCTTACTACATGTTCATTGGCTAAAAGTGATGATCTCAGATGACTCTACTGACCTAGATATTTGTGACATTTATTCTAAGCCAATAAATATATTTTAATATACTCTTTTCCAATCCATTTGCAGATTCCGCATGTTTAGTTTGGGGTGAAATGTGTGGCCAGACCGGAAATTGTTGGCTATACGACGACAAAAAATTAAGATATTTTCTGAATTTCACTGCTGCCGGTAACTATTATTATTATTATTATTATTATTATTATTATTATTATTATTAAAACTACATCTATTTTTCTTTCCTATCAACCCCCTTCTCAGTTTCCTTTTTCACTACTTATGTTTCTTTTTCGTCTTGTTCTCCTCGGAGGGCCGACTAATTTTAATATATTTGTAAATGGTTGTAGCTAGTAAAACAATTGACATACGAAAACGATTCAATGTGTTAAATATAATTAAATGAATTATTATTATTAACTAAACAAACAACATGACGAGTCAACAGAAACCTCATATTTGGCTTTTTTAAAGTTATAATCAAATCAATCATTGAAATTGTTTTCAGCTCTCTGACAACCTTCATACACTTTCCTAAAATCGAACTGCTACTCACAATTTACAATAGGCCTTGTGATTTGAAACACCCTGATAAGACGAAGTCGTAAATATATAATCAATATAGTTACAATTTGCGCATTTTTAATTTTGAAAACCAAATGACAGTTGGTAGTGTATATGGTTCACAATTAGAGATGTGAACAGTGAAAAAACGTCTTGAATAAATCATGATTTCGATAATCTCACATAAAAAATATATGAAGGATAGTTTGATTGAAAAGATACATAAATTTAAAAAAATGATTGTGGCTCAAAAAATGTACTTTTCTTTTTTTTATAATAACATACGCCGTGAGCGTTTTCATTTAATACTCTTTTCATTATTTGAAAACCAAAAAGATGTTGAATGTCCAGGAATAATGAAATAGAGTAAATTTCACGATTGTCTCTCATCGTTTATTATCAATGCTAGAATTATAAAACAAAACACTTTACTTTTCAAATGTGTCCCTCCCACTGCACTTCAGGATCAAAACATGGACAATCTAGCAGTGGGAAGCTGCAAGTTCACGAGTTATAGTAATCAGATTTGAAGAAAATCGGCTGAACGGTTTAGCTGTTAGCGTTGTTCACAGGCGGACAAACGGACACAGACAGACAGTCACAGACAGACATACAGACGAACGGACGGATGGACGGTCGGACAGACAGACGATTTTCCGTCATTCAGTTTTTCGGTATAAAGGATCACAAAACATGGATTCTGGCTATACCATGTGTTAGAGGATTTTTTTTCTAAATTTAGCAACTGGATTTATCTAGTTTATCCCTACTAGGGCTCTTTAATAAGATTTTTCTACCGAAAATGCGTTATTTTCATATGTTTTTACATTACATTACACAAAAAAAAAATACGAGTACATAAACACTTATTGGAAGTGTATGAACTTTCCCTTATATTAGGTGTATGAATGAGGTAATCAGACCACAATAAGTTAAAACAGTGTATTTAACATAATTATCCCTTATATCTATATTACCAGATTAGCTTCGGGGAACTTTACCCTTCTTCAGTGGTTCTTCAGCAATATCAATACCAAAACATTATCTAAACCTTGACACAAGTAAAATAATTATTCGTTCAATGCATTTGTAATACATTTTAAATTATTTATTGAAGTGGACATGATACTTACCCAGGTAACGTGGTCATATATGATTACAGATTGAGGTATCATAATTCAACATTCATATTAAATGGAAGAAGCAATTTTTTCTATAGTTAATCTGATATGGGGAAATATTTCCATAAGATAACGTTTTAAGTTATTTTGCAATAAATTTAGAATGTTTATTAAATCAAATAAGGTAAAGTTGTCTGAACTGTACCTTTAGCGCATGCCTCAGCTGTAACATGCTTCTCTCCTAAATTACGAACCAATTATGAGAAATAAGAATATTATCCACTTTAATGTGTCTTGTTTAGGATGCCTGTTCTGCGGTATGTCACTGGATATAGCAGTGTGGTACTACTGTAAAGATCTACAAATATACGAACCGGACGACGGTAAAGAAGAAAACAACTTGAAGAAGGTACAAGACGCCGAAACACCTTTTCTGGAAAAGTCGTAAATACTTGTTGAAATGTTGTCCACTTGGCTTATGCCTATATGGGACGAGATATTACCTCGTCGATATATGGAGAAAATCGAGGATCTGTGATGTGAGTGCAGCCCGCTGAAAAGCCTCGTGTGATTCAAGAGAACTTTCACGCACGACATTACTTCTCGCCGCACTTTCCCTCATCTCCTCTGATAACAAGAATTGTACGTTTCCTCTGGCATCGTGTTGCCTGAGTTATGTGAGAAATTGTTGCATTACACACAGCTGGATGTGAAAAAATGTTTTAAGCCAAAGCAATTATTTAAGATTTTGCTGATATTTTATTAAAATTTAAATGATGAAATGAGATTTTCATGACGATATTAATGAAATACTCGTTAAGAATGTTCCTTTTATAAAAAAACTTAATATGTCTATTGACTTTTTTATTTATTTTTCGCAATAACCCATTAATTTCGAAGTGAATTATACACATTTCTAAAATTTTATTCTCAATTTTGTGAGAGTCATTTACGTGTTTGCAGAATCACAATTCTATCTACATTATAAATTTGCTACTATTCACTTACACATATTGTTTTTCAGATGGTTTTATTTGCAGATGCACTGACTTTTAACCAAATTCTGTAGCAAGAAAATCAACCCAATACTTGTATAATATTGTACGTATATATCACTTCTATATGAGTCATTCCACGTCAAACCGTTTTGACCTTTGGTGTTCGAAATTGATTGAAACGTCTAGAATGTGTTATGAGGGTAAGTAAAAGAGACTTAGATGTTTTTGTTAGAAATTAACTTAATTTTTTTGGAAATTATGCCGCATTAAATTTTCCAAAAATCCGCGCGCAACAACAAATAAAAATGCTTATTTCTCCTGCCACATTGATCGTACAAATCTGAGATTAGTTTCAAATAAAAGCACAGATATTAAAGATTATTTATATTTGGATTTAAATTTCAATTCAATAATTCATTGAATCTCAATTAATTATAAAAATTTCAATTTTCCCAATTTCGTAAAAATAAAATTTCATTATAAAAATTATACTATATTTTCAGTTTAATGAACTATAAATGAGCAAAATTTCAAATTGGGATGTTAATGAATAACGTAATTACAAAATATTAATTGAACGCGTGCGCAGCCACATAGTGTACTGCCGGGATGTTTCAATATTAGTAATACTTCGAACGGTCGAGATGGGAATGAAACGGGAAGTCTGCATAATCCTAAAACATTTTTAAATGTCTAGGTACGACTACAGGTTATTGTTAGATCTGTATCTTTGGAAGACTGTTTTTTTCGATTGTTATTAGTAACCGATTGTGAATATTGAAGCCCTCTCTCTGTCATCGGCAGAGACCCAGCCCGGCACTTCATACGGTTCTACCAGACTTTAACAAACCTTCGTAATTCAAATGAGTGCCCTCGTTAAGGTTTCTGCCAGTATTTGTTTAACTTTTCGTGAGTTCGGTCCCGCTTCAGTCACATCAGGGCGAAATACACACTGTGCTGTCCGGCAGATCCAATTTTATTTGTTATAGTAGGCTGGATTTACGTGCAGTAAGTGAAAACCGTGTTTACTGCTGGTTTTACATAATTTGTTTGTTAACACAATGAGTGATATCAAACACCCAAGACATGACTTTAATTTTTATACATTCAATCCCAAAAATAACTGTGATACAAGAAGAAAAACTTTAAGCGGGTGACATCCTCCTTCACCGTCATTCAAAATTTAGTTAAAGGAACATATTGGAATAAAGAACTAGGTAACACTTCACCTCTTTGTTATATGATTAAAATATAATAGTCATCTAAGACACAAAAGTGTAATAACAATTTCCGAAAGCCCTAAAACGTGGTACAAATGCAGCTCACCTCTTCCAGAAACATTTGACTGAATTTCTAAAAGTTCAAGTTGACTCATATAGCAAATAATGCTATTCTATATTACATGATGGTCCGTTATAATACAGTTAACTTCATGAAAATATATTGCCTTAAAAAACCACTCATTACAGTATATTACAGAAGTCTACTGTAGTAGCACTTAAAAAATAAAAACATAATTGATCGTTAAATACATTGATAACATTACAGAAATTTACTTTCGTGAATACCAGGTATTACTGTAGGAAGATTTTTAATAACTTAATATCTTTTCGATAGCGTAGCAATAATTATCATCAGAGATGAAAGTATAAACAATAATTTATTACAACTTTTTTTATGTTGAGTACTATGACAGATGAGAAAAGAAACTCGATGGCACATACCTTGCATCGTCTGAGCGGAAAATGAAATTCGGGAGCTTTTCAGTGCAAAATGTTTAAGAGAAAAAGTCAGAAGAGAGGAGCGCGACCCAAGAGTCCTTGAATCGAAGAATACTTTGATACCTAGACAACACGTTTTATAGCAAGATATCAACATCATCAGTAATAGATAAAAAAGAACTGTTCTAAAAACCGACACATTGAAATAAATCCAAATAAAAGCCAGATAAAAATGTGTACCAGAAATCAGACATCCCTCCAAATCTCATATATCAATCACAGAACATATCCCGTTTCCCTCCCAACAAAAATGTCAAATACCTTGGGGTTTTATTTGATAAAAAGACTTTCATGGAGGAAAAGTACACAATTCCGAAAAGAACTGTACACTAATAGAGTCCATCACTTATATCCTATTCTTAAAAAAATAACTCCCCCTACAACTATATTGCAATTCATCTCATATTCATTAATGATCCGTCCCATATTCTCCTAAGCCTCTTCAGTATGGTTGCCACCGCCAAAACAAACATCAACAAAATGCTAATTTTCCAAAATAGATTTCTATGTACTTTTACAAAAGCCCTTGGTACAATTGAGGTACACAGTTTACTTAATGAACTTATCATTACACCCATCACAACCACTACACAAGGTGGCCCTGAACTTGGCTAATGTGTTTGAATACGAGAACGAACACTGGTAAGCGCCAGTTCTGGCATTAGGTTATACCACGATCTTTTACTTCTGGATTTATTTGATCCGTGCGGATTTATTATTACTGTGTGTATTATTTCTGTGTGCGTGTTATTTTTGGGTGCTGCCTTTTGTGCTACACAACAGTAATATATTGCCCTATAGAAGTGTAAATGTGTAAATGAGGATATTTTAAAAGGACGTTCAGTTGTCGTACTTTGGAGGAGAAAAATGAATCATTAGTGTAAGAAAGCCTGTTCCGAACCTTCCTGGCTTCAAATTTTTGCACAATGAAAAAGGGAAGGGAGAATTTCCGCCACTTTAATACTTATAACAATTAGTAAAATCCCAAAAACCGCCATCACAAAACATGATCGATGACAAAGTCATTTGCGTTCACTTATTAAGTTACTCAATTTTGGAAGTGTGAGCATCGAAACTTAGCTTGATGTATCAGATGTAATGCGACATAATGAAGAAAATTACAAAGAATAGGTAAATATTAAAAATCTGCCGCAATTAACTGCCGCAACATTTTTTAGCAATGCAAGAAACGACTTTAACAGACCATTGTGAAAATGAAGAGTTGGTTGACAAAGACTACGTCGATTGAACTTTTATACTCGGCTATGAATGATTCTGTCTTGCAACAACAACTAAACAACAACTAAAATTTGGCAAAACATTTAAAGGCACTTCTAAGAGAATTAAAATTATTTGGTTTCTGCGGTTATTCTCCGATTTAAACACGTGGCACTTCAATGTCACGAGCTGGACGTAGAGGATGACAGTGTCATGTAATCGGAAGCTTCGTTACAATTTAAAGATTTGGTATTGGAGCTCTGATTGGATGACAATGTCCCCCTCTCTTTCCAGTTCGCAATCTTGTTAAAATTGGAGAAATAATATTTTGTGTTAATCTGTTAAAGATCAAATTTTCAATGCCTAGCAACATGCAGTTGTTTAAATGAAATAGTCATTGCAGCTAGTCATTCTGTGAGATACAATCTCTCAACACTTCTTAGCTGTACATCAGACGCTATGTCGTGAGCAGCAGAGCGGTGTCGTTGCAAAGGCAGCTTCCTGGAGTAGGTTTGCCAATTTTGCCGTGTGAGAGTTGCCAATTCAGCCCAAATGACAGTGTCCGTTGGTTATCAAAATATTAAGTGCGCTTATGCAAAGGACGAGCGTTTTTTTCAGAATTCGCAATAATAATAATAATAACAACAACAACAATAATACTACTACTAATAACCACAACAACAACAATAATAATAATAATAATAATAATAATAATAATAATATCGGTTCCGTGGCACAGACGGTGGCGGCAGAAGATTCGAGTCCTGCGTAGACCTGGTCGTACTTGTGATCGTCCCTTCACTCATCATCATCGTCATAATCAACACCATGATCCTCCGATCTCATAATTCACACTTGAAGGCGTAACAACCTGGTCGTACTGAGAGATTCAGCTGACCCTCGAAAAATTACACACGTTCATTGTGCAGCATAGTCAGTAATGGCCTAAATAATAGTAATAATAATAGTAATAATAATAATAATAGTAATAATGTTATTTTTATATTTGTAATAATTTAATATAAAATGTATAGAACTTAGTAAATACTCGTTTTTTCTCCCAAAACGTAGTCTCCAAATCGCACACTTGCTATGCAATGCATGTCTGTGTTTTATAACGCGGATGCTGCAGAGGGGCAAAGGCCAAGCTTCAATAAATAAAAAACTGTGTATTTTATTTTGTGTTTGAATATCATGGGGGCTGTTTCATTTTGACCTTTCGTAATATGAGAGAATACAATGTGTTTTCCGTCGACCTGGATGATCGAGGTGGCTATGCATAGCCGACAAAGCGCCTCGGTCCGAAAGGTCGCGGGTTCGAGTGGTTCGATATGGTTGTTTGTCCTTTTTTCATGTATGTGTGTCAGGCCCAGAGAATGAGGAGCCCGCACATGTGTCTAGTGTAGAGGTTAATATGTGACCCCATAAGGGACATAGTGAGTACTCGGCGTGGATAGCCGAAATCTTCATATCATGAAGCTGAGAATTTTTTTTCTGTAGTCTTAACTTTGTTGTCTATTTCTTTAAAACCCAATTCATATTCTATAAACACATTTGTCGTATTTCGTGCCAATACTTTCTGTACTAAGTGCATCTTTCAAAAACATCGATGTTTTATCCTCGCATATTTTACACACTACGGCGATACCATTGATGCTAGAAGAAAACGTTTTACACAAAAAAGTAGGAAATTTGATCCTATTTAATTTCGCGATGTATTAATAACTTTGATGCTTTTATTTTAAACATTGAACATCAGTTTTAAAACATCGATTGCCGATATCGCTTGTCTATGTGTTATTAGTGCCACGTATGTTGCATAGTAATTATGAGTGAAAATAACTGACGTATTGGAATTATGCAATGATGATAACATACGACGTAACTGTTATAAACAATACCAGTGAGTATGTTTTGTTGGATCACAATACGTTTTCATTTTCTCTTGCCATACCATCGGCTAATACAAGTGCTATTAATTTATTATTGTTAATCTAGAAAGTAATGAGATATGAAAAGCAAGAACAGCCAATCAAATTCATTTTATTTGCCTCTAGAGCAAATTTTAACAGATATTACCAAGACTTAACGAGAAGCTAAAATCTTTTTTTAAATAATCAAGCTACGGAAACACTTAGTATGTAGTTTCTACGTTATGAAGATCCAAAATTCGTTAAAGAGGTCGTAAGGCACAAGGTACTGATAAAGACGAAGCCACTTATAGACCTCTTTCTGTTTGTCGGAAATCTTTTGAATTAGCATCAAATGAACGGAGTTATTTATTACTTCGAGTTATTTATTACTTTCCTTTTCAAATATACTTAAAGGTACTAAGTCAAGAAACAGACCTAATGCTCCGAATACAGAGAAAACTTAAAGTGGCGCAAATGCAATTAAACTAAGAAATCAGAATTCATCTGAACAATTAAAAACGAAGACGTCAGAAAAGAAAAAAAAATTCTGTGCTATATATTCTACAATAAGTTAAGATGGAATCCAAATTAGTGAACAATCTGATATTACGACGATTTCAGTGTAGAAAAAAATAAAAGCGCGGTACCTAACACAGCCCGCACTCTTCAACAACAAGCGTCGTCATTCCATTACGTAAACTAATTTACGATCGACGAATACGACTCCGCCTGCTGGGACGTCCGTGGTTGACGACTAGGTCACACACGCCTCAGCCGCGCTCCTGGCATGCCACCGCCCACGGTCAACGCTGCCGGCGCTGCCCCTGCCGCTAAGGAAGTAGCCACGGCGGGCGAACGAGGCAGCCAGGACCGACTACCTCGCGGCGCAGTTATGAGTGACGAGAGCACGGCGGGTGGCACGTGGCCGGCTAGCGGCGCGGGAAGCCACGACTCTCACCACAGCGACCCAGGCGTCAACGCCCTAACATCGTTCACAAGATCAGACGTCGCGGCCTTGGAATCTCTTTCCAATGGGAGAAGGCAGTCGGAAGCACAGGTAGGCAAAGTACTGCTTTCTGGGACGCATTTGATAATGGCCCTGGTGATAACAATAGTACTCGCGTTCTCTCGGAGTCCCAAAAGATATTCAGAACAGCACGGGCGAAAGAATATATATGGTACGTGTTTACATACGCCAGCACCTTCCAAATAGAAGTGAATATTATTTAAGTGATGAGTTAAGGGTAGACGTACAAAATATATTTTAAAAATTACGAAACAGAAAAAAGAGGTATACAATACAAAGGAGTTGGATGTTTTAGTCATTATTTTAATTATTCTTTTCAATGGATGTTTGTACTTTCAAATGTGAAGCAAAGGGTACCCGGATATTCCCAAAACCAAATGCCATATGTGTAGTTGAACTAGGACTCTTAACAGGCAACAAAATTGTTGTAGTTATTTTCAAAATGTGTTGTACTTAAAATCATAAGTGATTTTAAAGGATGAAAACTACCGCCCAGCAATCGACAAAATCTGAAATACAACAATAAATTAGTATGGTAGTTAGGTATGGGAGAAAGTTTTGAGAATTTTTTTGCCTGTTCCAATGTTCTAAGACAGTAAGTTATTTTTACAAAAAATGGTTTGCCTTTGAATTCGGATCCGAGAAAATTTAAAAACAAATAATAATTGTTGATAGTATCAATTATTTTATAATTTTTCACATTTTCGTCAATAAAAATAATATTTAGTTGACGGAAAAAATTAAAAAATAGTTCTTGACTGTAGATCATGCTTTTACAACATTTTGCACTTTGAATGATCTCGGGAGCCGGGCGCGAGCAACTTCAGTTGACTGACAACATACTGACTGACCGGAAGGGTGAGGAAGAGTCTCATTCAATGATGGGGAAACGCCAATTAGTAAGAGTAATTCAAACCGTAGCGCGTAAATTAAAAGAGCAATTACGAGTAAAGACAGACTGTTACATAGAGTTCAAGTATCATTACTTTTTATTTTGAAAATGTTTCTTGTCCATATACTACAATGCGAAATATGAACTTGAAATAGACGCACATATTTGATTTGGATACCAAGTATTATAATTTCTTGCAGGGAATTTACTTCGATTCCATCACAAATTTAGCGTGCTGCTAAACACAAAATTGTAATATTAAAAATTTTTTGTTTGATGAAGTCAGTAATAAATTATTTTTGATAACTATGTTTAATTGAATATGACGGTTCTATTAAAGCAAAAAAAAAGATTCTTAAAAAATCATGATTATATCCTGCTCTAATATCTGACAAAAGTATAATGTATATTTATAATCTCAAATCAATGAACACTATTTATACATTATCGTTTCCGATATCAAATAAGGTTAAGCCCTTTGGGTTCTATTTAACAATATCTATAATAATCCCATGATTGCTCGTAGAATATTGTAAGAGTGATTTGTTTATGGGTGTCGCTTATTCAGCTTCATAATAAGGGAGAATGATCACAAAAATATGTGCTGCCAAACATTACGCTTCTTGGCATTGCCTATATTTAATTTTTCTATCAATCTCGAAATGAATGTCTATTCTCAATTTTCTCCTTTTTGCTATCATTTTGATAATCAATATCATTTTGATGATTCTACAACATTCCTGGTAAACATCAATAATTGATAATTATTAGTTATAAACGAATTAGCCCGCCCGACTCGGCCCCGGAAGCAGGCATTGTACAAACCTATTGTAAATGGATGGGGTGGAGGGAGGGAGCTAGATATCTATATTTAAGTGTTCTTGACAAGTGCTTTCAGAAATATGTTGGATACCATCAGTATTCCGTTTTTCTCTTCGAAATGCTTTTCATAAAATCATAGACAGTTCTGAAGCTGGTGAAATTTCTTCGTTACATTATATAAAATAACCTACTTTAGGAACTACAGAATGGCGCAGACTTTCTCATATTAGTTTTGTATTTCCATTGCTCTCAGCTAGCTATTCGGCCATATTCTCTTGCCAGCTGCCATCTATCGCCACACAAATTACATTTTTTGAAATTTTCTTCATTTTTCGGCTTCTTAATAGTAGAAGGGGAATATTATTTTAAGAATATTAAAGAACAATAAAACCTGATCGCAACTCAATTTTCATTTTAAAAATTTGAAGCTGTATTTGAATAGTATTTGAATAGTATTTCAGAGCAACTGTAAATTCGAAAATTGAACCTCTTTTCACAGAGAACTATTCAGTCTTCGAAATTCACATGACTTCATTTCGAATACTTTTAGTCAAAATGCAATAGTGTTTACAAATTACTGTAAATATGCATATTAAATGTGAGAGATCTTTCAAAAAATTACATTTGTGCAATTATTGAAAAAACAAAAGAATACAGCAAAAATTATTATATGTCATCTTAATGAATACAATTAGCACTATCTGTCACAAATTTTGAGCTCATTTTCACGAAAAACTGTTCAGTTTTCAGGTATCTTTTTCTGGCATTATTTAATTCAAATATACTCATAAATACATTAATGTAAAATAGGAATGTTAATGTAAATAAATTGCGCTATAAATATTAACGTCGTGAGAAACAAGTAAAAATATTCATGTTTGTTATTTTTGAAAAAATACAAGAAACGAACAATATGGCGTTTATGTGATCATAAAGAATGAATTTAGTGCTATCTCTACCAAAAGTTTACAGAAAAAAATTGGTGTCGTTTTTGAGAAAATCTGTTTCTTGAAATTTTTTAAAATTGCAAATATTGCGCGCAATATAGCGCAAAAACAACAACAATTTTAAAAAAATGTACATGACCTTAATACAAGAACTAATTATGGACAACAAATATTAGTTGAAGGAAAAATCTCAATCTTTAATTTTGCATTTGTTGGAAGGCACCGAAAAAAGTTCATATCTTTGAAATTTTCAACAATTCAGTGTTAACCGTGAAAATCGGACATATGCCATCTTTATATGTTATTCCATTCTTACAAGAAATTTAAAGAAAGCATTTGGAGTCGTTTTTGGGAAAATTTTGAAAATTTCCGGAGTGCTTCATGTAAAGTATGCCCAAATTTTAAAGGATGTTTTACAAATTCTCAAAGCTTGGACCCGAGCTAGACTAGGACAAGGGTTACTTATATCTGGAAAAAATCCTACGGATGGTTTAGGCCCTTGAAGTGTTCACAGACGTACAGGCAGATGAACAGACAGACGGATAGGCAGACGGAAAGACAGATGGACAGACGGACGTTTTGAAAAGAACCACTTTTCGGTATCAGGGGACCCCAAAATGCGCATTTCCGTTGAAATCTCGAAATTGATTTTCCGCAGCATTACATAACTTTCTCTATACTACATATATTACTCCATATATACATACGTATACGGGAAAGTAATATAAATTCTTAAAATAAAATCCATTTTTACTTACTCGTACACATACGTAGTAATATGCGTGGTATAGGGAAAGTTATGTAATGCTGGAAAAAAGGCTAAATTTCAGAAAAAATCATTGTCTGATAACGAAAAAGGTTCCAAATCCAGTTGATAAATTTAGAAAAAACCTCTAACACGGGGTGTAGCCAGAATGCTTGTTTTGTGGGTTCTTGATACCGAAAAATCAATTGACGGCAAAAGGTCCCTCTTCCGTCCGCGTGGTGTCTCTGAACATTACTAGCGCCTAAACCATGCGTAGAATTTTTTTCAATTTGAATGTGAAAACCATGCGTGAATTTTTTTCAAATTCCCAGTCCATGTGGCTCAAGTCGACCTTCGAGATTTTGAAAAACATTCTTTAAAATTAACTAGTACTAGTCTTCAAAAAGTATTCCAAATTATTTCTTTAGATTTCTTGTAAAAATATATTAACATACACTTATAAACGTGACATAGATCCGATTTTCTCGCTTAACTCCGAATTTTTGATAATTTTAAAGTATTAATTTTTTCGGTGTCTTCCAACACATACAAAATTGGAAAAAAAGAGGTGTTTTTCTTCCCTTCTTCTATCCGAGGAAAAATCTAAGTAAAGAATGTGGAGCGATTCTTGGACAATATTTTTTTTAGAAATTGCACAAAAAATCAAGCCCAAATTCGTCTGGGATCAAATAGATAAGGTCACTAGCCCAGAAAAGATGCTGCAGGATATGTCGTGCTGTTAGCAAAGGCACTCGAAAAGGTCTCCTGTTGCCAAAACCCATTAGATCCAAATTCCACCCCCCTGTCCTAACGGATACGTTCGTCGGCCCTCACACACTTACTTTTGCGGTTATTGCACGCAGTGTTACACTGACAACCCTACGCTGCTGCTCTCAGTCAGCGCATTCTCTATCCCGAGAGGTTATGGAGTAAATTAGGTATAGCCAGAGCATTCTTGGTCCCATGCGTCTCGCACCAACTATCATTACACGTTTAAAGTCTGTTAATTTAAGTTATGCTGCCATTGTCACGCCAAAAACAATTTCACTTAATCACTTGAATACTAATGAAAGCTCTGCATATGTTCCGTCTTTTCAAAACTTTTGTAGTCGATACTACTATCATCTATATTTTGTATATCCCATGACTTTTGTTGCCATAGTGTATTTTTTACCCTCCTCAAAAATGTTATTAGTTCCAGGAAAAACATTGTTAACTTTAATATATAGCTCATATACAATTTCTGAATAATGCACTGAAAAAATATTGTTTATAGTTTCGTCATAATTCAGTTATACTAAATTGTTTTGATGAAACTCACTTAAGCTTATTTGGGTGGTATTGTACCCGTTAATATTAGAATATTTCATTTTATATTTGTAGATTGCATCAAAGCAACACCTCACCAGCACTCCTGAAGAACATGGAGACACACAATGCGGGCTGGGTAGTTGGCGACCCTCATGGTTACAGCGCCTTGCCAGCAAAAAGGCATACGTGATTCTGCACGGTTTGCTAGGTTTTCATCAGCTTGCAATGGTATCCTATATGGTCGGCACTTTCAGCACTATAGAGAAGCGCTTCAAAATACCAAGCAAAACTACAGGTCCACCCGTTATAAAACAATTGTTTCACAATAAAAAAATATCCCCTCACAAAAAGAACATTGAGAGAACTTCCTATACTAAATATCTAAATTAAAGAAATTATTAATACCTATCATACGATCTTTAAAACTACAAATTATATCAAGTATTATTTGAATCGTATAATTCGGCTAAAAATGAGATGGTGTGCAAAACAATTTGAAAACATTTTTAACACTTATAATAAGTATTTGATGTCTGGCGATGAAATATCCATTATCGACTAATTTTATTTCTCATACAGATACATTATATACTACGTTTTAAAAAGCATCTAGGGTTTTTTAAAGAGATCAAGTATTTTTATGTTGTCTGTTTGAAGAATACATGTATTAAATATACATTATTTTTAATAGAAATCCAGACATGACATTTTTTCTAGAACAGTGCATGAATTTTTGTTTTTATATAAAGTCTACGTAGGTGAATACACTTTGGAATCAATATAAAATCAATACATTTTTTCAATTTCAAAAATAACGTTTCTCTGACGTTTTTAGGTTTAATAGCTGCCGTTTGGGAAATAGGGGCAATGGGTTCTTTACTGACGGTGGGCTACTTGGGCAGGCAAGGGCACAAGCCGCACATGGTGGCGGTGGCTACGATTCTCATGTCCATTGCCTTGCTGGGGCGGCTGCTGCCCCACTGGGTGTACGGGCCAGGGCAGGACGCATTGGAGCTCACCAAGGAATACGGAGACGCCGCTCTGCTGCTAAGCAACTCTTCGGGTGAGTGACACAGCTGCTTTCCTGGGTTAAGCAGGATAAGCAGTTATAGCAGCTATTTTAATCTGGAATTATATGAAACATCTTTGAACAGTGTTCTTTACATTTCATACATGTATTATCCTTGTTTATATATGAATAGCAAATGAAATCTAAAATAATCAGTGAAAAAGAGAAAAATACATTACATAAATATTTGATGGTTCATATTTATACAGTGAGAATCGATCGACAATAATGGGGGAGCTGATAAAAGCTGAATGTGGGGAGCTGATAAAGGATGTTGACAGAGACATCAAGAAGTGTTATCGCGCTCCATTTCTAGAAGTTATTGATTAATAATGTTGCACCAGACATTCTCTGCGACCTGTGTGAAATTTAAGCTGTCATTCCTCTACTCTAATCTAATAGAAAAAGAATCACAAAGAATGGTATCAATTAACAAAAGCAAAGGGCAAAACATAATTAAATTATTACTGTGATAAAAATACTGTGAACGCATCACGTAGGAAAAGGTTTCGTTTCAGTCGAGATGTGTCAATAACTCTCGAAAAGAAAGTTGTAGTTCCAGAAAATGAGAAAGGTTTCAAAGAGCGATATCTTACAAATATTCATCAGGTCAACATAAGCAAGTTGATTATCTTCCTCCCAACGTTCCCCTCTCCGTCTCTCCAAGGACTCGTGCCTCCATTCGTTCCCTCCTAGTTTCGTTTATTATCGCTGCAAAGCACTGAAGGCTGAGCACAGTGTATTTTTTTGGCTATCCAGGAGGAAATATTGTGGCAGTACTGTCGTTCAAGCGTCTCCGCGTAGAGTTCGCTTTTAGCGGCGTCCTCCCACACGAATTCCGGCTGCATAGCGGTGGGACCGGGCGGCTGTGGTGACGGGGTGGAGCGGAGCGGGCGGTTTACTCCCGCCTTGTGGCACAGCGCCTTAAATAATCCGCAAAGGTTTCTTTAGCGAAGATTGCAATCTTCGATCGTGCGCGACCATTTTGCGGTTCTCTCGTCTCGTAGAGATTTACAGAATTCTCTGCTAAGAGCTCGCGCCCGCGCTCCGTCCGCGGGATCGCTGTAGCGGCTGTGTAGCTTACAATATCCCGCAGCGTCCTTCTCTGCTCATCTGTAAGCTCAGGACGTGACTCCGGTTCGCGAGTAATTTTGGTATTTGATTTGTAGGGTGTTGGAATCGTTGGAATGATGTGTCACCGAGCTATCGATTTCGTCCCGCGAATTTTAGCGGTTTTCGCTCACACACGGTGGTTATGTGAGGTGTGAAACCAGTCGAGTTGGTATTGTGTGATATTTTGAATTTGTTTCGGCGTGCTGCGGCGAAAGACGAAACCACAAATGTTACCGGCCTGTGATCTGAAACCAAATAGGAGATCGAAAGCGGGGCTCCGCAGTCAATTCCTTTTGCGATCGCAAGAAGCGATGATTCCCGGATTTGCAGTCGAGGGGTCTTTCGAGGCGCATACGTATATGCCACGTCTCGTCGCTGTGTAGTAGACTAAACGGGAGCCGTGCGAGGTGCGGGTGGGTGTCCAACAGATAAATTTGTGAAGCTTCGCGTATGTTTCGGCTTCACAATAAGCGTTTGGGGAGGAGGTTGACACCTGGTAGCCAACTGGGCCATTTTGGTTGGTAACGCGACCGATTGTAGCCAACTTACCAGTGGCGTCTTCTATCATTTTAGCGTGCTTTTTTACAGCATCTGCGTGCATTTGCAAGCGGAAGCTGTACGGTCGTCTCGGTGATCGTGAGGCAACCGGCGGAAGTTTACTTTTGCTCGTCCGTTCAGACTATTAGTCTTGATGGGCGGTCTGCATCTGATAACTATTTGTCATTGACTCTGTTACGGGCGGTCTGCACGTGGTCACAGTCTGTCATTGTTCTGTTCGTCAGAGTGTTCATTCCTCAAGTCTTTGTGAGTGGGTGAAAAGGGTCGCTATGCGATGTGTCTGATCCCCTTAATTTAGTGTGATGTGGCGTTGGCGGGGCGCGTGGCGCGTTGCGCGGGGCGGTGTGGTATCTTTATTGGCAGTTCGTTTCTCTCGTTGGACAGATGCAGCGGGTGGGGGGCTTGCCGGTAGCGGCTGGTGTCTGAGATCCTTCCTTCTGACCTCGCAGTGAAAAGAAGTCGGATTTTATGAGCTTTATTGAAACTTCAGTGCAGGTCTGACTTCAAAAGTGTACATAGGGTATCGAGGACGCGAATGTCAACAGCTTGAGTGCAACCATGCCACTAAAAGTGCGTTTCGTTCTTATGTAGAATAATACAAAATTTGGGCAACGAATTTCCCAACATAAGATTACTAATAACATTGTATTGACTTTGCATTGAAAACTGAAACACATTTTGATGTTTCTATCACGGACTTTTTTTTAATTTTGAAAACTGTTTCATTGTTCATCAAATTCTCATTGTTCATTCACTTTATATTTCATTCTGAGTTTTCACTTTCGTATTATTTGATACTAGTGTTTAAAAAGCAATAACAATATCAACCCGTTAAAATGTAAATGATTTTAATAGGCATGAAAAAGCGGCTAAACCTGCATTTTTGTTTTGTCTTATTTTATAAATTATAATTACTATAAGCTGCCAATAAACCAAATTAAGTGCTAGTTTCAGGGTCTTGTGTGATTTTTCATTGTGTTTAGGTTTCCTGGAGCTTTTGGTCAGTGGAAATGAAACTCGCAGCAGACTAGAAATTAAATTTGTTCAAGAAACATTCCCATCGATCCGTCCAGTTTACCCGACCCATTGGAAAAGTTCAGTGACACAACTGTTTTGCTTCTGAACATAAATATATCTTCAATATGCCCACGTTGTTGCTTTAGCAAGTATTGATGGAATAAATCTGGGGGTTCATTGCTATTTAGTTAGCAATGCAATAAAATCAAGTCTGTAGTTCGCTTATCGATACAAATAAGTTTCCTGTATTTTCGGGAATAAAAATGTGTAGTTTTCAAATGTTAATATCGCTTGGTCGGTAGTTTTGTTCATTTAACTTCGTTTAGGAAATGAGTAGATAAGAAAATGCGAGGCTCAAGGATTTTGCGCACATTACACTTCTTCCTCACACGTCACATATAGTTTTTACTATTTTTTGACAAAACTAAACCAAATGAAATAAAAGAATCGATACTATGAACTCTTTCTAGTCCCATCTCTCAGTCTCTAGAACTCCAGGAGGCTAACGTCAAGAAGTGAATAAAAACTAGGCGCGCGGTCTCATCAGCAGGAAGCGCAACCAGCGCCAGAGGGTCCTTGTGTGGGACCGCAGGATCTCTCGCTCAAGACGACTGCTCGGACAGCGGGTCACTGGGGGCGCCCTCTATCTTCTTCTTCACCAGCAGCGTCCTTCTCGGCGTTTCTACCTCCGTCTATTGGACGCTGGGCGTCTCCTACCTGGACGACAATACGCTCAAAGATAAGGCTCCATTGGCACTTGGTAAGAGCAGTTTTCTTTCCAATGGCGGATAGTGCATGTTTCTTGAGAGGAAAGAAGTGCAGAAACAAATTCCAATGAAACCAAATTATACGTGCAAACACAAGGATGGGATCCCTGTGTGATTAAATATTTGCATTTCTGGCAATTCATTTTTAGTATAAAACAAATAAGCTTAGTTACGTTGTGTTGCGATGGGATAAACCAGATATATATTCTTCTGAAACATAATGGCGGAGAATGCATGCTTGTGACAGAGAGTCTGAACGTGTATTGAGTGTGATTGAAATGTGAATTTCAAGATGTTCAAGTTAATTCATGAATGTCAATTTTCCGGTTATTAGGTAACCCACCTACTTAGTGCTAGTTGTATTACTCTGTAAATCATAATTTCCATAAATTAACAATGAACATCCAAACAGTATTGGAATAGTTTATTGGTAAAGCTATTGAAGGATGTCCTCATGGTGCCTAGCAATCAGTAAACTGTTTAAGTTGTGTATCTGTACGTAATGCAAAAGTAACTGTCCCATTACACGTCTTTACATTGCAAGTCGTATACTGACAATTCTTTGGAAGTTTTCTGCGAGGAAGGGACATATCCCTTCCCTGCAATGAAGCTGAGGGTGGGGAGAGAGCGGATTGGGACAAAACTCCACGGTATCGAGAATATGGTCCTGCTTTGCTAATTCAGCGCCAAAATCACATATCATAGTTTATTATTATTATTATTATTATTATTATTATTATTATTATTATTATAATATTATGCTGAGGGAGTTTTCTAATTTGAGACATGCGAATATAAAATAGAAATACATATAATTATTTAAATGTTTAAATATTTTTGAAAACATCTAAATTTTCAAAAATCATTCTGTATAATAAAAATTGTATTGTTTTGTTAAATATTAATAGTTTGTCCATTTTTGTTTTTTATTCAATTTAAAAAAACTGAGAGACCTCAATCTATCGATTGCCTAAGAGTTCTGGATCTTTAAGTCTGACTCTCGGTAGATACATTAATGCATCTTTGAGCGTGGCCAATTTGACTATGATAGTTTTTCCCAATGAAGCGGTGAAAGAAAATACTAAAATATTGAAAATATGAGAAATTAAGTAATTTTTCATTTTATATTTCAGTTAATGATTTATTTTTACTTTTTCATGTACGCACATATTTAGGGAATAATATAACTAGTAATAATATAACGTAGTAATATAAATTAGTACCGTGAGACCCCTTTCTCGAGAGCAAAAACTTACCTTCTCGGGAGATCCAACTCACCTGCTTAACCCCGTATTGTTGCTCTCAGCAGTTTGTCCGAGTTTTATCTGAAACAGAGTGGCGATTGTGTCATGACTGATTTCAGTCTGTGGCATGCATTTCACGTGACCAATTCTCCAATTCTGCACCCGAAGTTCGATTCCGTTACCTCTGGTCCTGTTCCCACTTGTGCCATGAGATAATACATCCTGTTTATTTCAATTCTAGTAAACTACAACGAATGGTCGGCGATAGATCCAGTCTTCATTCATTCATTCATTCAGTTATTCATTGAGAAGGTAGTCAAATTTAATTTATCTTCAAGTCACTTTTTTCTGTAGAAAAAAATACCTCTATGAGAAAAAACTTTGTTGTTTCTCTGCTCACACTTTCTGTTAGCTAACGTTTCTTATGGTCACACCAGATCTCATCAAAACTAAATAGTTTTCATAGAAAATATTATGTTAAATTACATATTTAATGTTTTTATGAATTTCATTTTAAGAATATATCTATCTTTGCTCCAAGATAATCATCAACTACATCTTGTAATGTAAATTTATATAAACTTATTAGTTATGTTAAAAATTGTTCCCTCTCCTGTGAGAAAAGGGACGTACCAGGCGGGATGTAATTTGTTCAGAAAAAATACGCATTTTTCGGTACATATTTCATGCAGTTTCACTAATGCGCTCCTGGCATTATTTTTCGGAAACTGTTCTGGTTTTCTGTGCGTCTGGTGCTATTTGTTTCCTTTTGTACAATCTCTATAGCGTTTGAATATATTGAAATGTAATATGAAGGGATTATGTAGTGAGATATTAAAAATGTAAAATGTTCTATTGTCGTCTCGTCCCTGTGTATACCTAATAAAACCCAACTTAGCTTGTTACCACAGATTCTACGTTTACCTGTTTAATCTTCAGAGCGTTTCGCGTCATCCAGAGGAAATATTTAGAACACGATTACACGCAGAAAGTTAAATAGCTGTTTAAAACGCTTAATTCAATTTCAAACATTCATTTTCCATCCATTTTCTGTTTACAAAAATTGAGAAAATGACGTAAAACGGTAATATAATAACCTACTCCTGAAATGATGCTGCAATGAAAGAAGCGTTTCAGCGGCGACGTCGTGCATCCGCCTGCTTGCCCCACGCGGTTCGTCGGCTGGCCTCGTACGCCCTGGCGCGGTACGTGCACTTGACGCTACCCCTCATCGACGCAAAACGACCCTCGATGGATCGGCGCCTGGTGGATTGGTGAGGCATTGCACTGGTATCAAGAAAATTGATAGTTGTGTTGACAACCGGTCAAAATTACTCGTCATGGTCCATAGTTGCTGAATTCTAGAGGAAGTGTCCGTTTCGATGTGACGGCCAATTAATTATCGGAGTGCACTTGGGACAATTTTTGCATGAATTATATTTATGAAATTACTGACACAAATATTATAACCACAACGGATAATATTGCTTTCGTTTGTTTCCTTCAGATCTCAGAACGTGGATTATTTGCAAATTTAAAAATCGCCCCGCATATATTGCTTTAAATTGTACATTATTAGGTATAACCCGTGCAATTTGCATAGCACTAATACGGAGGTGAAGAAAATTTACAAAAACAAAATGACTATATACGCTCAATATGGAAAATCTCAAATAAATAAATGTTTTTGTCATTCCATGAGCTTTCCAAAGACTAATGAACTAAAACTTCTTCGATCTTGGTAACTTGCAAAGCAAAACGACTCAGATCACTAATATATCGTAGGTATTGAAAACGTCATAATGAAACGGGGCGGTGAGCGTTCATTTAATTACTTTGACGTAATTATGAAAATTAGTGTTTATACTACAAAACGGATTAATAAGATCAAACGTTAACCCGTTTATAGTGCTTCTATCATTAATTTACAGAAAAAAATACGAAAATTTGGTTGACTAGAATGCTCAAATTTGTTTTTCTGAACAAAACGCCTTAGTGTTTCAAATCATCGATTTGTAAATATAATGAATAAAATACAAGACACCGAGTAACTACTCCACAACATGTCGTCCTGGCGCAGGGTACCTGCGGCCGCGGGGCTGGGGCTGGTGCTGGCTGCGTTCATGATGCTCTTCCCGCGCCAGCTTCCTCGGCGCCGAGCGCCGCGCTAAGGCGCGCTCCCTCCACTCCACGCCGCCACGCAGCAGTTAGGAGCGTCAAGGTTACGTTACGTGGCACTGGGCCGGTTGCTGCGAAGGGTCACTGAAAAAGGCTTTAATTAAACAGGCCAGAACAGAACACAAATTCGTAAAATAAACTAGCGCAATAAATTAAGAAATGTGAAGAAAGTTTTATACTTTTGAAAACATAGTGTTTATTTTATGTTGCATGAACTATAAAAGGTTCTTTGCGTACATCTAGACAATTTCATTATTATTTCTGTGCATGTGATGTCATGACAGTATGGGAACATTCTCATCACTTCTTAACTAGCTTATATATTTTTCTTGTATATCACTGAACACGTTTATGCCCTTCAAAAAATGGAGAAACCAACTGCAATGTCCTGTCATTTTTGACACCATGTCTCATCCGGTCGGCCTCAAACCTGGGGCACAGAAATAATGCTTTATATACATAGAAACACACCATATATGAGCTTGATGTGACCTGTTCTGCATCTAGCTAATACAACTTGGTCAGCTCTGCTGAAGGAATAGCTTGATTATAATCCTCGTACTCACATATACTTCTTAAAATTTGCAGCGGGCGCTGTTGCTTCATTCCTGACTCTCCAATTCTTGTTGTTTTTTCTTGATGCTGGCATGATAATACTGTCGTATTATAGGAAGGTTGCTTCTTTCATCAATTTGTGACACCTTATTTGCAGATGTCTGCCAGCTCATTCTCCATGATACCCACATTAGGCGAGATCCATCCCAAAATGATCTCTTTACCTTTAATGTTAAAAGTTCTTTATCATACCAACAGTGTCCAAGGCTAGCGGATTTCCAGAGTAAAAGGCATTGCCAATAGCCGATAGAGCTAACTTGGAGTCTGTTACTATCTGAAATTTGCGTTTCCTGTCTCCGAGAATGTATTTGTATTCGCATCGCGCATACGTGTCGTGCGAGTGCGTGCAGACGCGGTACTCACCTCGTACCCGCCTGTCTCACGGCCCCACGCACGATGATGTGCCAGCAGCATGGATTCCATTGCACACACAGCACACACACATATCGGTCACCGGTAGCTAGACGATGTAGCTGTAGATGCTGGAAGACCACCTCGTAAGATGAAATAATAGGTTTGGCTAAATGATAAATGAAGAAGTGATATTAGATTAAATACTAATTTCATGAGTGAGGATAAAAAGTGAGTGATTTCTCTTGGAAATTATAACATGACACGTATTACCTAAGAAAGAAAATGGAAAACAAAACAATTATAAAACTACTGCACTATATACAACATGCATGTCGGATCTGAGCGGGAATTATTAATAAATGAAAACTAATTCTAAAACTAAATTAGCAATGTACAAATAACAGTCTATAAAATTGTTTGACATAATCAAAAGAAAAAAGTTCATTTCCTAATAATGATCACAACAGTTCAATTCAATTAAAGAGATTGCATTTTTTAGAATGAACGTGAACTGAATTGATCTACCTAGGCAGAAACCGGTACCTTTTGTGTGGAGGCGCTGAACTCGTCCCGATTGTTGGTGACACAAAAATACACCGGC